TCATAAGCACTAGGAACAGCCGGTATGTCGCGACGAATGACTCGTTTAGACTGTGCCCGTTCGTCATATTACCAGCATGCAGCATCTGGCAAGATCTGCAAATGCTGCACTGCACGGACCGGAAATTCGTCTCTTACATCCGCCCGTTAGCTGCATATCACCCGCAAGTGCGATAGGCACGCATGAAGCTTGATGGTCTTTTTCTACAATGAGACCAACAACTATCTGAGGAAGGGCGAAGGTTGCTTGGAAAAGGCGTGCTACAGACAGGGTGTCCTGAATCGCTCAGTAATTCATACGGGAATACCGGATGCATAAGTCGTAGCGCGAGGAATTTCTAGAGGTAGCTGACCACGTTCTCAACATGGTATACCAAATGAATATGTGCGCAGCTCCTCTCGTTTTGAGGTATCCGTGGCCTCGAACTCCGAGGCCACAATTTCAATGCGTTGTGACTAACAAGGTAAGTCTGCAATCACCAACACGCGGTTTCTGGTGCAAAACTCTGGGTGCCATCAAATGGTCCACAACTGCACCTCTTCTGTCATGGGACGAGGTTTTCACGTATATATTTGTTCTTCACAATTGAGTCCCAACCCAATAGCCGTCTAAGCGCACTGTTTAACTTCTGTGTGCTTCGCAACTTGCCGACCAGTCACCTTGGCCCTTACCGTCCAAAGAATTGCTTATCGTATCACTCCGAATGTTGTGAATTCTGAAACTTGTCCGCTGAGCCACAACAATCTCCGAGCTGATCCCCACGGGGAGTGCGTATATAACCCATGGTTCTTTATGCCTAGATCCCAGATTGTTCAGAAAGAAAACGGGTGTGGTTGGCTAAAAGTCCACAAAGAAGGTATGCTGTGAACCTGGCCTGGTCCAGAGCACAGAATCCCAGCAAAATGGGTCCCATATGTTTATGTACGTCGGGCCATAGCGAGAAGCAATTTAAAGCCGCGGGTTAACAGTGTGCTTCCGACATAACTGCTACGGAGAGTTGGTTAAAGGAGAAGGATGATGATGACTACGAGCAACGCATGAGAGTTCCAAACGCTCGCTTGTCCCTGTAAGGACCGCTTACTGGGCTACTGCTAAAATCTTGATGTAATGATCAGGCTACGCCCATGTTCAGACAAGCTGATGAAGAACTCTCAAACCAGCAAGAAAATAAATTCATTTATTTTCTGCTTGTCTGTTGATTGGATTCTAGTTCACTCGTAAGGTAGTGGCTAAAATACGCAACACAATGTGGGTCGGCAGTCGAAGATGATATCATTTGACCACGGTTACGTAAGACTGTCACTGCTGAAGTGCTCCTAATATAGAGTAATTATTTCTGTCAGTTTGTCAGCCACATGGATCCCATATGTTTATCTACGTCGGGCCATTGCGAAAAGCAATTTAAGGCTGCGGGTTAACAGTGTGTTTCCGACATAACTGCTACGGAGAGTTGGTTAAAGGAGAAGGATGATGATGACTACGAGCAACGCATGAGAGTTCCAAACGCTCGCTTGTCCCTGTAAGGACCGCTTACTGGGCTACTGCTAAAATCTTGATGTAATGATCAGGCTACGCCCATGTTCAGACAAGCTGATGAAGAACTCTCAAACCAGCAAGAAAATAAATTCATTTATTTTCTGCTTGTCTGTTGATTGGATTCTAGTTCACTCGTAAGGAAGTGGCTAAAATACGCAACACAATGTGGGTCGGCAGTCGAAGATGATATCATTTGACCACGGTTACGTAAGACTGTCACTGCTGAAGTGCTCCTAATATAGAGTAATTATTTCTGTCAGTTTGTCAGCCACAATCCTCATAGTGAGATCCTGATAAATTAAATTACGCCTTCCTCCCATTTCAGGAAGTCAGTAGCTCAATGAGCACTATCTACAAGGTTGACCATAATCTCCCTTACAGGAAATATGAAATTCAAACCTTCATCTCTTCCAGGTTGAACCATAGTCTTTTCTCAACAGAGGTGAATACGCGCCCGTTAGCCAGTCGCCTAATCGTATCTTAGTTTTGTGTGTCAGCCAGGATTGTCCAGCCGTCCGCCACCGTCTACTTAGGTTACATTTAGCCAGCTGATCAAACAACGCTTCACTTTTCTCGTTTGTAAATGTTCGTGCCTAACCCAAAAACGGCTCAGTTTTTGCTTCTCAGTTGTCAATCAAATGTTTTAGCTCATCTCAATCGGAAATGTTTGGAATCTCAGAAATATTCCGGAAAATCGACCGTAGGCAGTGGATACAGGCATGTCTTCTCGTTTGTAAATGTTCGTGCCTAACCCAAAAACGGTTCAGTTTTTGCTTCTCAGTCCCCTGTCAAATTTTTTAGCTCATCTCAATCGGAAATGTTTGGAATCTCAGAAATATTCCGGAAAATCGACCGTAGGCAGTGGATAACACCAGGCATGTCCCCATCCTGACCATCTCATGAATAGCCATCCAGAGCACTTGTTTTGGTCTATGAAGACAACTGTCTGGCTATGCATACCCTCATTATTTTGTCCAACCGCAAAAATAAGAATATTTCTGCAGCTTTCTGGCTGACTGTCGGTGAAGTTGTAATAAAAAGATTTTAACGCCGGGTCGGGGAAAGCGCATGTCTTTGAAACTCCTATCTTTAAAACCCGCGAAACGCGGTCACATATCTAATTCCGCTTGGTAGTAGACAAGTAACGAGATTCTTGGTGCTCCCTAGACAGCTTTTAAAGGCTGATGAGCACTCATGCATCCCCGCCCACAACGTTAAGCAAGTGATTCAACAAAGAGGGATCCTGCCAATAAAGTCTTATCAGTTTTTTATTCCTTTGTTTTCCCCTATCGTGACCCTACACACAATTGCAAAATCGATTATTCTAGGCTGTTTGGGTGTCAAGTATGCATGTGCCCATCGTCCTAACTTGAACTAACTTACAGCTCAATCTTTGTCAGTCAAAAGTTACTATACTGTCCAACTGCCGAGGAAATCTCAGGGGAACAAAATGAAACTTATACACCGCAAGTCATTGGGGGATACGGCGCTTCAGGCTGCACACAACAAACGTCGAAACTCTCGTTCTTGAGGAAATAAACGATCAGCAAATACCGTAAACTAAGTGACGGGGAATACGCTGCAGGGGAACAGGAACCCTTAAACTCACTAAGGTGCCGAATAAAACGAATGCGTTCCAGAGGCTTGTTTTGAGCCTTGCAATCAAAGAATGCGTGGAGTTAATAAATCCGCCACCCTTACTTATGTTTGTGCACCACTCCTCACCTCACTTTCGGCAAGGCAGGGACGGCCCCGAGGTTCCCGACCACAAATTACGGTATTTTCCCGACAATATTTCTGACTTTCACCGGTAGAGTTTCCTTGAATGACCCACCATGTACGCATTTGAAGGGACCTGGCTCGCACCGGACACCTGTGGTACCGAGACTGATGGTTGGTTGCTCCAATTTGTGGAATGAAATGAAGCATAGGGGAGCTTCTGGAAAGTGGCCCTGTTCACTCATCCATGATACCATCTCTTCAAATTTTCGCGATGCACGGCGAATTTAGATTCCGTTGCGTGTAGCCGATTTCCTTACTTTCGATGTACCTTATCGTTCTTCTTTATATCCGTTGGGACAGGGTCCGCTCCTCGCGCAAATCGTTCTGCAACTCATCATCACAAAGTTGATATCCTATTCGCAACAATCATTCTTACTAAACCGCTCATGATCGACGATCACGTTTGTGACCATGAGCCGGTCGATGAAGGCCAACGATGAAGTACTCGCGCAGAACGTCATTGTTATTCCCCTATTCATATGATAGATTTGTTTCTTCCAGCCGCACCTACAATGGGTTTCCTCAAGGCTCCATTTCAGGATGACTCCTGTTTCCGTCTCACATAAGGGACACCCATGGTTCTCAATTGCGTCCATGTCTACTTTTCGCGCACGACCTGAAATATTGAAACGTCGGCGTCTGTGCACCTTGGATGGGTGTCAACGCCACGAAGCAAAGGTCACTGGATCGATACCTCCTCTAAAAGAGGAGAAATGTCTCTGTCTTTCGGATTCACGGATTCACAGCTTGATACACAGGATCGAGGACTTCGTTCGAGTTTCCCTGGTCGATGTTGTTCAGTGGCTGCCGTTCACCCGAAAGGTTAAAGCAAAAAAGGGATAGCACTGCTATTTGGGTTCTCACTGCGAGACAGTAAACTCTTCAGCGTGAGGAGTCGCATGGAAGATATCTAATAGTGTTTTGAGTTAGGTTCTAGATGGAGTTTGGACAACCGTGGGTGGAAGTTTATGCCACCCAGCAACTACCCGCAAGTGAATTTGCAAACGTTTTTAGTATTCTTGGCGAGACACTACGAGTACTGATATATAAGTGGACTTGGACATCTGGCTGCCTCACGACAAGCCCTGGTTATCCACCCAGAGTGATGCATTCGCTGTTCTTCGAATGGGTTGGTTTCCTCCCACTGCATTGCACGCATATATTTCCAGATGTGCTTTGCAACGTAACTCAGATCTATTATTGAGTACACCAGCCAGATCGTCCACGAAAGATGCCCCCGGCTTGTCCAAACAGGCCGTGGCAAAATATTTTCCGGTTGTTCACAATAAAGCACACCCGGATATCCTCGGTCTATTTCCCCAGACTTCGTCACTCGCAAGACCTGGCCCACAAGGGTCTTATATTTGACCCTACCAATACGCATCGGGGACGCATATTTTTTATTAGCAGCAATTATTCTCACTTCCTGTGGTTTTTGTGCGTAAGAGGCTAGAGCCCTCTCCTTTGATTTCTGTATGCTGCATACCTTCCAAAACCGGATATGAGATCAAAATGTGCTCACTAACCACAGAAGACGAGGCATCTCCTCCCTTCTGGCACATCAACCTGCAAGGCCCACTGAATCGCGGGTCCCACTGAAATGAGCCAATCAGAGCTCTAGTTTTCCACTGCTCCTACGCATTCTTATTTGCGTTCCCTGTTGACGGCGCTTTTTGGGCAGCATGTCCAGCGTCGGACAGGACGCTCTGCGTGAAGAGAATCGTAAGCTGCAGACCGCGCTGCAAGAAGCTTTACAGCTAAAACAGGAGGCCGCCCAATATGGACTGCGAATCTTGGAGGAGAAGCAGTTACTTCAAGCTCGGTTTGACGAGCTAGTGCGAAGTTCGGAGGAGGTACAGGAAGAGTTGAAACTGTCGAAACAGGTAGTTTATCCTTGTCTATCGACGACTTTGTAGAAACTGGAAGAACAAAGCATGATACAGCGAAGATTGAGCAAAGCTGGCTTCGAAGAGGAGCAGGATTTACTTTCCAAGTACACAAATCGCGAAGAACAGTTGGTCAACCGTGTAAAGGACCTGGAGGTTGAAATCAAAGATCTTAAGGGCAAGTTGGAACGCCAAATGGCGGATAATGATGGATTGCATCAAAAGTATTCGGATCAGGTGACGAAGTTTGAGGACCTTCAAACACTCTATCAGCGACTGAAGTCAGAAATGAAGGAGGCAAAATCGAAGGAAACACGCTTGCTCAATGAGTTCGACGACCTTGAAGCGGAGAATCTTGACTTGCAAAAGACCATTCTCTCACTTAAAACGAGCCAGGTATTCCAATTATACCCGCACAGCTTAATATTTCTATCAAGGTCGAATTCGAGAGTTTGCGACACGAATTTAAGCGGATGCAAGAAGAAAATGACATGATACACAATCAACTCGAAGAGATTACTCGGTTGAAAAGGATGACGGAGAAGTCTTTAGAAGAGGCCCTGGAATCACTGCAAATCGAGCGTGATCAACGTCACAATCTTCGGAAAGAATTGGACAGTCGATTGACTTCGGAATCTATGTATCATTTCGGCAGTATTCATAGTGAGTTGAAGGGCTCTGTTAGTCTGCTCTATTCCGGGCGCGATAACACCACTCCTGCCGCTGACATATCGATTGAAAAGGTTGAGTCCTCGGTGCTTAGTCAAATGGAACCTAACTCTGTTGGTAAGTTCAGGTTTATTTTGGTTTCGCTCCAGTCGGTGAGTTATTCATCCAGTTGTTCGAGGAATATTGTTTCTTTCAGCGTGAGTTGCGCCAGTCCGTCATAAAGGGCAATATGATACAACGAGTCTGTCATCCATATGCTGCTGTGATTTTTAGACCCTATTATCACTGCCGGGAATACACAATTTTATTTTTTATAGGACGATGGTGGTGTACCTTTTTGAGACGATTTGGTGACCACTTACCCGAAGGACTTATGGTTGGCATGAATAATAATATTAATAATAATATTTCAGCTGTAACGCCCTTTCGGAGCCTAGCTACCATGCCACATAAGGGATCGCGAGAGCTGAAATACTGCCAGGTTGCACAATCCCAGACGGAAATGTATAGTAATAGAGTTGCATTATCTTTATCACCGCAACCAGGTAGATGACTGCCATATGACTTCGCAAGGTGGTGCTTGTTGTAGTATGTTTGAATGCTTCCGTAATATTTTCTGGAATTTCTTCGTTGCCTCAGAAAATGGACAAAGCAGGACGGATTTACCTGCTGATCAGACTGTTATATTTCCATACCACAAATGCGAATTGGGGGTCCAATATCCAGTCCAATTAGGGTGGATTCTCCTCCGTCCTTGGTTATGTGGATCAGCTGTTTATGCTTCGTTGCATTTGGGGTACTATTCCGTTTAGCACTCTACCAAAACCTTTCTCATTTACTGTTGAGTGGTGTTCCATTTGATCCGAAGAAACTGTTATGTTTTAGAATCTGATTGTGTAGTTTACTGTTACGGGAGGAAATGGTTCACACCTACGTACACGGCCGGTCCTCTGTAGCCGACCAGGTCAAACTATCGAATCACCTGCTCCAGGCAGGGTCCCCAAAGAATGCCCTACTGTCTGATGCCTCGCGGGTCAAACTTTTGAGAAAGAGGCTAAGGGAATGTTCCCCTAGCCTCCCAGTGCCTTGTCAGTTTTGGTCTTTAACTCAAGAGGTCAAACAAACCACCTTCTTTAGCCTGGGCAATCTATCATTCACCCGCATACTTCTTTGTCCACCGATTACACTCCCCAAACCCTGCCCACCATAAAAACCACCGTTCCATTATAAGTTATCCGACCGAAGTGCCTTATACATCCAGCTGGCTGATTAGAATAAACAAAATAACATCAAATCCTTTCTACAAAGGAGTTTTCAACGTTCGTCGATTTACAACAGGCTATACTTCCACAGACCTCATACTCCATCAAAGTTGAGGTATGCTGTATCTCTGAAACGCGTATGCAAGACCCAAGCGTGACTATGCATCTTAGAACGCCGAGGACAAACTCATCTTCCACTTTTCACTTTCTTTCACTCTCAATTTTCACTGTGTGTGTGTTCGGTGATCCAGAGGCGATGAATTGTGGAATATATGGCGTGAATGTTGCACTCAACCCGATCTGATTGCGCTTGGATGGATTGAATCACGGTGAGCAGTCGTCTTCGTGCCGTTGGGCTATCCAGCTCAATCAAGCTCAATGCCACTGGACATGGAAATAACCCGTGCTTGTAGTGTCGATATGTTCCCTGCAGTACTAACTCCAACAAGGACACTTTATTGGGATTCATGCGGTCTCATTTATCAGGCTAAAAGCATTGTGATTCTTGCCGGTGATATGAATGCCCAAGTCGGTCGTCTGAGCCCATTGGAATTGCATCTGGACTGTCCGTTCTGGGTCAATGCTCGTCTCACGGACAACTGAGAGCGACTTCTTCAGTTGTGTGCTAATCCTTAAGTATTTCTGGCCAGCTCGAACGTTTGACTTAAACTCTCGCACCGTGTTATTCAACCCGGTGGCCACCAAATGCAAGCCAACCGTGGATCCAGTTGGATCAAGTTGCTATCACTCACCCCTGGAGACCCACAACTCAATACTGCTGTTCCTTCCGGGGTGCACAACTTGATTCCGTGCACGCTATAGTGCGAGCATGCCTGACGAATTATTTTCCATCAGACGCTCACAAGAAGCGTGTCAATCCACCAACTTCGGAGAATTATCATAGCTGAGCATTATCGTTGTCAGCTAGCCGAACTACTCTCTTCAATGAACCAGTACTGTACTGGTGAAAAGAAGAACGCTCTTGAGTGCGGACTTGTTTGCAGACCAACCCGAATTAAACAGTTACGAGCCGTTGCACACAAAAGTAAAAATCCCATTTGCACAGTTTTTGAAAAGTGAACACCCAAACGTTCTCCTGATCTGCCGTTTTATTATTAGGCAATGAAGAACAACCCCTGCAAAGCGGTCCCATAATTTCTTCAGCAATCTTCCATCAGAAGCGGGGACGGTGCTTTGACACGTGACCGTGCACCACTCGGATGTTTCATCGGTAGTGCACACGGGTAATAAGCACTTGGGTGAGGCATGGCTTGCGGCTTTCAGTGCTGTCTGTCCGCATTCTCCTATACAATCAAACGACCACGGGATATCGAGATCGCCAGTTCTGAGTGATGCCAGATAATCCATACCAGCAGGCAGCGAGTACAACGGTGGACTTAAGTCCCCAAGCTCTGAACAAAGAGAAGCCTAACAAAAGACCGAGAGCTTTAGTAAGCAATGAAAACTCAGGAGATGAAGAAGACTTCTGCTACGGAAAACAACAGTGCCCTTTGACACTTACTACAATTGACTGACCAGGGGGAAACAACGGTCAGTGAAACGATAAGTGAAAAGACGGCCCGTTAGTTCACTCGCAAAACCGCTGGCCGGCTGGCCTTCTGGAACCTAGCCTTCTGAGATATTGCATATGTCGAATGCTATACAGACCTTAATCCGCCGTCAGAAAAAATTAAAATACGAAATTTCCGTACCGAAACGTGAGAAGGCACCAGGGCCATGTGGTTTGTATTCAGACCTTTTTAAAGAAAGTGGAGGATTCCTGGTGACCCGTCTGATAATACTCATCGATGCGATATGTATTGAAAAGAAAATCCCCGCAGAATAAGGCACATCGGCAATTATCCCTATCTTTGAAGGGTTAGCAGATACTCTACGAAAGCCATTGTGGAATTTGTTCGGTAGCTTTGGTGTATAACTTGCTCTCTCATTTTATTTTTCGATCGTTGACGGAACACAGGGGTAGGCATCTCTATGAAAAACATGCTGGGTTCTGTTCTGAAAGAAGATGCACCTACCACATTTACACCCTCCATCAGCTTCTGGAACGGGGACACTACTTTCAGCTACCGATGTTGGTCTTTCTTGACTTGAAAGGTGTTATTGATTCTGTAAATCGTTAAGCATTACGGTGGTGCGTCTGGAACAAAAGTATCATCCACAAATTCTGGACTCTGCTTGAAGCGCTGTGCGCAATTTCCGATGAACTTATGAAGGTGTACTGTAGGCTGTCGCCTCTCAATTGGTGTCAGACAAGGCTGTTCCTCGTCATCTTTTCTCTTTTTAGTTCGTTATCATTAAGATTACTGCTAGCCTCCAATGCCTGTAAGGTCGGAATGCTACAAGGACGTTCACTCACTCACGAATAAGCACACGGCATAGTTATTCCTGGACCTGACACTGGTGTGATGCAGGCGATATTAATTCATCTAAATAGTTCATTCCCAGGGTTTGGCCTAAGCTCACACCTCTAACGTGTAAAATACTGTCGCAAGACTAGGTGGGCTCGAATCCTTATCTTATGCTCGCGGATGTCATCATCGTTGACAGCAATATACAAATGATACATGCTGGTGCGCAACTGTCGTACGACTATGAGGGCAGAAAGTCTTCGTGAAGAGTGAAGAGAAACGGAAAGGGCATTGAAGAAGCTCCGTCAACGGAATCAGCCCAACGTCCTTTGGATACCTCATTCGACTCAAACCGAGCGTACAACGACAGGTCAACTTTAGTGAGGTAGTCAGGCTACCTGGGCAGATGGACCGATCGTGGTAGTAGATCTATCCGAATGACATGCATAGCTTGCTTTGCCGGTCTTCCCCGCGTAATTTCACTGACACCTCTGTATTATATCAGCTATTGCCACCAGTGCACAACTATCCACTCCAAATCGGCGCCATCTGCAGTCACTATACAACATGCACCAGGTTTTTAAACCTGAAGCATTCCGAATTGTAATAGCATGAACGCCACTGCCTTAGGTTACTCGCCAATTTTTTGAAGCGTCTTCAGCAAAGAGAAGGCCACGGGGACTCTCCTGGAGGACAGCCGCCCCAACAGCATCTGTCTGACAGGTCACGTCCAATTCGCAGTTTCGGCCATTCTGAGGGAGGTGGTCTCCGTAGACGATGATTCGGCATGTAAGCTCGAGATGGCTCAGTGGTAAAGAAGCGCGATGTTACAGACTTTGAGGTTTTATCTTTCGAACCCATTCTGTTCCTCTCGACTGTTATTGTCTAGACTTGTGCAACCTGGCAGTGTCTCACTCCTCGCGTTTCTTTCGGTTGGCATGACAGCTAGATACCAAACGACTGTTTTGCAGCTGAATAATAATTTTTTATTTGGCATGCGTAACACCGGGCCGAGCCACTGTTATTGATGCTGGAGGTTTTCCACGATTGGAATTCTTGCTGCAGAAATGAGCTTTCGTTTTACAATTATTTCACTACGGATCGACACCAGCAAAGTCAGACGTCGGCTTCCGGGACCTGATGACACATATCACCTGCCTGCAGGGGTCGCATCTCCCAACCATACAATAGAACAGTGCTTGCTGTAGCCTGGTACACGCGATCCAGTGACATGTCCTTCCAACTCATGATTGACATTACCTTGGAGGCATGACTCGGGTTTCCAGGATCCCCGCACTGAATTCGTCGTACTCGCTGTCACCAGTGCTGATACAACTGCAGCCTTCGGTGCTTATTGGATTGGGACATTTCAGGTACTGCACGTTCTGAAACATGACTTCGCGCTTGGTAGGTGCAAGGCCAATGCCGAAAGAGGGCACGATGATAGTCAGTTTACTCTACGGCGATTTCGCTGTATCTTCCCTTT